GGTACTCGGCTACTGACCCGCAGGTTGCGGGTTAGAATCCCGGCTGCGGCGGCTGCATTTCCGATGGAGGCGGAAATGTTGTAGGCCCGTGTGCTCAGATTTGGGTGCACGTTAAAGAACCCCAGGTGGTCGAAATTACCGGAGCCCTCCACTACGGCGTCTCTCATAATCATATGGTGGTTTTGGGACGTTAAACCCCACATATCAATCAATCAAGAAATGCGCTTACCACTAGAAGGTTTGAAGGTTCACGACATATATAAGTGGGATGTTGTGATTGGAATCGGCACGCGAGGTATTTTCTGCTTATTTACACCGCGAGACATCGTACCAAATATGTGTGCGTCACTTGCTTCCTTTTTAAATTCACAATTATTGTATTAAATTAAGTGTGGGAACTTTAGTACCTTATGCACACGACCGACACACTTGATGTAAGTAAATAATTTAAATACGAAGCATTTCTTTCCGTACTGCAGGCATTCTGAGCATCTATCTATCTATCTATCTATCTATCTATCTATCTATCTATCTATCTATCTATCTATCTATCTATCTATCTATCTATCTATCTATCTATCTATCTATCTATCTATCTATCTATCTGTCTGTCTGTCTGTCTGCCTGTCTGTCTGTCTATCTATCTATCTATCTGTCTGTCTGTCTGTGTCTATCTATCTATCTGTCTGTCTGTCTGTGTCTATCCATCTATTTATCTGTCTGTCTGTCTGTCTGTCCACTTACATTTCGGTACTCTCGTGATAACCCCTTAACTTGGGGTAAACTAAAATTGATATGGGAGGGTAAAATGGTTTGACGAATAGGACTCGCTGGTCATGACATGAATAATTCACAATCCCATCGCGTACTACGTTGTCAAACCCTTTCTGTCAAACGTGTGGCACATACCCGCGGGTGGGTATGTGCCACCGGGTGATAAACAGTTATACTGAGGAACCGTGAGAACAGACATCGGTAATTTTAACGTGTGACCGTTAAGAAAAAGCCGATGTCGGTAGCCTTGACCCGACGAATGAAAAGAATATTCGGGGCCACAGCAGGAATCGAACCCCAGCATTCTGCGTTGCAATCGGGCTCTCTACCACAGAGCCAGGCAGTTCTCTGGAATACTTCTCAAAAGACCCTAACATTTGTGCAACGTCAAATGTGGTTGCAGTGCTGGCTATCAGATTTTTATAAACATTACATATATGTACTGCTATGATACAGCCGTCACATTGGCTTAACGTCAAATAGAGTTAGGCACCATCGGCTGAATTGATTAGTGTAGCAGTGTCTACAGCCGCCATCCTTGCGAGCACCAACGCTTGAAATATCAGCTCACCTGCATCTGGTATTGCGAATATCCATGTTCTCGGCATGGTTAAGTAACTGTAAACGACAAGTGATAGGCGGGGATAGTGGCCACTATACTAATGTGGAGGTGATGTAAACTGACAAGTTATATAAAACATTTGCTGCTGTTTAACGCATGTCTCTGCGTGCATTTCTACACATCTTCAGCACCATTTCCTAACGTTTCGCTCAATAAAAATTTAAAACACAGTCATCTTTCATCTACATGTTCTCACAACATCGCTTTTCAAGGTATGCGAGATCTGATGAATTTTCGGTAGTGTCGTTAGTCATTTTTAATTATTTGATTTTTTCCCGATTTCATTACTCATTCACATCCCATTGCATTAATTCAATCAATAAGTGTCAGTTCGAAGTCATTGCTTTGTCTGTCGTTTTCAGTGTACCTTGGCCCGTGTTTTTCTGCAAGTAGCCAAGTCATGATAAGTTTTCTTTTTTCACAAAAAGGTGCGTCCCGTTATCCGAGGCACTTTTTGTCCTATGCACTATAATCATTCTCGTTAGACATTGGAAAAGAGAAATAGCATTCATGGTATGTTCAATCGAGTCAGGACCACACCCAGAAACTTTTTGCAGGGGTTGTTTATGTGTAGAATGGGTAACTTGAGCAACTGGTGGTCGATAAAAAGGCATGTAAGCACTTTAGTGTCGCCTGAAATCGCTAGGCCTCCCAAGACTATTCTAAACATTGCGCCTTGAACAAACCAAATAAACCTACAAAAAGGAATATAAAAGCATAAAAAATTTGGGGGTGTTAGCCCCCTTGATTCCCCCCTAGGTTCGAGCTCTAATGCAAAGTTATAATCTCTCAGCTTTCATGAATTCACTTGCAGTTTTCACATGTTTGCCCATGTTTAGCCTTGAAACATTAGTTGAATGAATAGCCTCGTTCACTGAAGGCACGTCACCTTTCTATTCTATCCAAGCTCGCGATTCCCTGGCTCCCTGGCCTCTCCATTCTTTGACACTGCCCGCTGCTTTTGAGTATACGTCCATTCCATTACTATATCTCTATATTTTAAAGCGACAGCTGCCTCACAAACGCGAAAAATTGCGATCGGTGGTGTCAACAGGATTGATACAAAGACTCATCGTCATTTAATGGTGTCACTGTATGACATCATCACGACGTCAAGAGATGACGTTAATTAATGGTGGCCACCGGAGATCGCGAAGGCCCCGAAAAACCACGCGACACGTGCAGAAAGTGTCAAGGGCCTTCGATCCAAAAGGCAGTGCAAAACCACGTCAGGCACAGAAAGATGGCGGGAAAGAGGAGGCCAATAGATGGTTTACACTAACGTTACTGTAACAGCCACGTTAGCGCACCAACACGGCGGCACGCAAACTTTCCGACGTTGTGTTAATCTCACGGTAATTCCTTAGTTATTCACGCACAGAGACCTAACAACGTTTCAATGACATCGTTATTACACTAAAATGGATTAATTGATGCATGATTCCACTGCTTTAACGTGAGCCAAGCTATCGATAGAATCAACTGATAAAGAGAAGGTGACGTTCGCCTTCAAGTCGTCTTCGGCAAATGCATAACAGACCGCGTGAGCTTTTGGTAGAAGGTGATGCGGCATTCACGATCAGCATTATCGTTAGTGTGTGCCATGATATGGGCTGCCACGCACGTCTGCTGCAGGGGACATAGAGGGCTGCTGTTTGTATTCGCAGTTCTGCTCACATTACGTTAATTTGTGCAACAAATGGGGGCAGCTTCATTATACTTTAACTGCACTTCTTGTTTGACAGGATAGTATGAACAGTTGCCTTTGAGAAACGGAACCGCAACGGCGATATTTATAGCTGCGACATAAAAAGGGTGGTTTGAAGGAACATAGGTCATGCTACCTGTGACGTCTGAACATGTAGTAGACCTAGCCGAGACCTCCATAGGATATCCTTCCGCCGACACCCTACCGCAGATGCTTTTCATGAAGCCAGCCGCACCAAGCGATTGTCTTTTCTATCGCCTCGGTTTCACATTTTTACATATACGAAGTGAGAGTCTCACGATCTAGATGCGTCATTCTAAACATTTACTGCGATATCAATTTTATAGGCTCTATGTGCGAGCGAATGCTTCAGAAGGCCGCAGACAAGCGCGGCTCAAGCAGAGAAAAACGTGCCGGCCTGCTCCATCGGGTGAAGGAGCATGAAAGGGTGCCGTAAGAGGAGCTGCGTTGATAGGAAACTGTGAACTATCTAGAAGAATGTGCATGCATTCGCTATCTCGACTGCAATAAGCAGTTGGCATTTATACCGTTGCACGCGCTGAGCTCTCAGTGCATATTTCGCATTGAAGCGACAGACGGCCCTTAGCTTACTGGAGGGGCCTGGTTCCTGAATGATATTTTTTTTGTAATTTCCCCAAGTCGGATCCTAATGGAGCCAGAAGCTAGCCTTACTTAATGCCACACTTAATTTGTTCCCATCGCCTTACCTTTCTAGCGAAAATGACAAGCGGGCCTATGCTCATCACACGGAGGGTGCATGCGATGGCATCCTGTGTGTGAGGCTGCCAACGATTGCTAATTGAATCAGAGAGGAAAAGATCGCCTGTCTTGAAGGAGCATGAAAGACACCACGGGGCAGTGTGGGGAGAGTGTGTTGCTCAAGCAGCGACTGTGAACTTTATAAAGGCGCTGTTGCTATCGCTGGCGTGCACGTCATCTTTGCAGGATACAGCACACCGTTTGTATACCCTTTTACGTGCTATGCTCTCAATGCGGAGACTGTTTGAAAAGTGCATCCATTCCTGAAGAGGCCATATTATCTCGCAGTAACATTTTGCCGAATTACACGACATCAGATTAAAAAGAGTTAGCTGCCAGCCTCACTTTATATAACAAGAACATTTGTTGCTATTGCATTATTTGCTTCATCCTTGAGAGGAAATTTTTTTTTTTGTGCAACATACTGGCTTTTCACTACTTGACCATCCTCATCGCGCTTTCAAGGCTTCCACCTTAAAAATCAGTGCTCAGATTTACGCGCCGCAAGATCATACGTCCTGCTCGCACACACGTTGGCCAACTAAAGAAGTGTTACAACACTGCAGGACTTTGCAAGACTTTCACTCGTCACAAAGTTTTGCCATTGAACGCAAGTGTAAGAGCGAGAATGCTTTGCACATTTCATCATTACGTGATGTTTCTCGGGGCTTGCCTTGTGCCATTCCACTGCATGTATTCAGTCATCCATACGGTCGAGCACTGCCTATAGTATTTTTCACAGTCTGTTGGTCCTGATCATTTCAAAAACGTGCACTACTCGAGATGCACTCGAGATGCCAAGCACAAACATGGTTTCTCGCTACACCAAACCAGTAATCTAACAAAAATTTTTTCATTGCGCAGTTGTAAATATGATTTACCTCTACAACATTATGACATTTCTCTTTAATTAGCCCGCTACGTAATGTTGCACATACACTATGAACACCTTCGTTTCTTATTTATGTTTGTGGCTTTTTACATGCAACATTACACATGCTAATGACACACCAACAGGTACAAATAGTGTGACTGGTGTAGTGCACTACAGTTCAACTTAGTACATACAACATGCTTGCTGTGCACACTGTTCAGAGCAAAGATAATACCAGTCAGTGATTTCTCCGACACCCCCAAGCAAAGCTTTATTAAAGAAATCAGTATACCTACGCAGCATTCCACAAAAAGCATGTTGAAAGTGAATACACGTGAACACGGCTTCAAATGGGCAAATGAAATTTTCAACCGTTTACAATTGTAAAGTCATCGTAATTGCAAGTAACCATGCGGTGCTTCTCATGGAAATATAACTTGTGCTGGGTGTCACAATACACAATATTTAAAAAGCCTAATGTTGTTCTTTGGTTCAGAAACGGAAGTCCTGCAACATTTGAGGATGCTGAACAAGGATCAGTCTTGCATAAGTTCATTCAATGAACAATACTGAACACAAGTTCGTTGCTTAAACATATGCACTTAGCAGGTCACTCCTATTTGACGTGAAGCAACACCCATTCACTCGTGAACCTTCCATTGTAAGCATACATGTAGTCTACAGATAGTTTGTGTTGTCACCGCAAACCAAACACCTTAAGTTAGTGAGCCGTTATTTTACCGCAACCAGCAATTAGTAATCTTTATTATGTACTCTTGTTTGGCTATTCAATAAGCCTTCAATTTGTTCGGATCCGTCTACAGCCATGAAAGTGAAAGTATAAAGAGTTGTGCATGGAAAAAAAAAGTGTTCACACCAATTGAAGAAAAGAAATACTTTCAAGTCAAAAGACCTAGGTTGGTCAGAAGATAATTTGACCTGTTAGCAACACAGCAAAGTATTTGTGTGAATACGCTGTTATGAAAACACCTTCGATGTAAGAGCCTCTTTTTTATAACGCACAGTGCTAAGCTGTTATCTTACTTCCTAAAACACTCCAAGCCACACAGACTACTATAATTGTTTTAAAATGAAGGAGCTGTGTCTTTTCCTGCTACCAATCACCACAAATCGAAGTGAGAGGTCCTTCGAGCGAATTCAAGCAGCAAGGCAAACACAAAGAGAGGTGCAAACCAATCAGTTAGGCACGTCTTGAGCTGGAGGTTTCCTATTTCAAGTTGCTTTTGCAATCTGATCTTAATCAGGGACACGGCTGATCATACAAGCTATGTGGCCTGCTGGACCTTGGTTCATTTGATAGTGTCAGGTACTTGCTAGAAACGAAATCACATCGTTGCTACAGTTGTGGACAGTATCTATAAGAAGAAAAAGAAAACTGGAAAGGTACAACCCCTACAGTCTCGCTGATTGCCTCTCCAGACAGTGTGAAGGAAATTCACTGCTGTCATGCAGAAAAAACGACACTGCAAAGCGTACAGTCACTATGAGAAATTTGGGCAACTTGATTCAAGACAGTTTAACAGCCACAGTGTCTAGAGCAATATGTTGGAACTGTAACACATGATACAAGGCTCACACTAAAGATGTATCGTGACGACTATGCTGGATGCAGTGATTGATGAGCGACACAGGTACTGCACGTAACACTGAGCATTGGCCAATCAGTGCTCTCCATTCATCTACTTGAAGAGAACCACCTGATTATTCACAAGATTGCCATGACAACAGACCACACCTGTTTTGCTTGTATTGATGGCACCTGTGTGTTACTTTGACTTTTTCTATGCTTCCTTTCGTTCATATTCAATGAAATTTACTCTCACCTTGTACTTAACTAATAGAGAATTTTGGAGCTTCTTTTTTAATCAATATTTGCTTTCTTGGGCGGCTGATAGAAAGATGAAAGGGCTAGGAACGACGAGTCTATTATGCTTCTGAGAGGCAATGGGCGAGACTTGAGGTTGTGAATGAGAATAGAGGGTGGGGTGGGGTTCTCAGAGCTTGGCTGCAGACGGCGCGTCCCGTCAATCCTTACAGACGGCCAGGGCGTCGTCACGCTCCTGGACCAGCTCCTTGCCTGTGGCATCAATCTTCTGCCGGGCAAAGTCCGACATGGGCAGTCCAGCCACAATGTGCCAGCGCCGCTGGGCATCGATCTTGACAGGGTAGCTGAAAACCACGTCGGATGGCGAGCCGTACGAGGCATCGCTCATCACCGCCATGGATACCCACTCGCCCTGTGAGAACATGCACACTCTGGGTCAGGTGCAACTTCCCTCACATATATGTGCATAAAACGCTCCCACAAGTAATGCACATATACTATACCCCATAAAGTGAACAAGGGATAGTCGCCATGGTAGCTCAGTTGGTAGAGCATCGAATGCGTTATTTGAAGATCACGGCAAGCTAATTTTTCGTCCACTTTTCTTTCTTCACATTTACATTACAATTATCTCTAATAACATCCCCTATACTTAGTATGATTGTCTGTTAGATCTCCTTAATTGCCAAACAAAGAAAAACGAGCCCCCAAATGTACACTTCTTTCCTTCTCTCATGAAAAGAACTTACTCACAATTTACTTTTATGCTACTTTAAAGCTATACAGGCAGGGTTCATCTCACTGTTCGAATTTATTCGATTTACTTTTTGCCGAATAACTCTTGCAGGGCGTCATCCCCATAAAGATTCAACAATTTTGCGAACCTACCTCATATATCGCTCATATATGCAAGACAGTCAACGAATTGCAGACTTGAAACAATGGAACTCTTTAGTATCCGATTTGTCCACTTTTTGCAGTTATTGCTCAAATTGACAGCCTTGCACTGTACTGTAATTTGCCGTGATGTATTGTGCAGATGTAGGGCAACTAGACATCATTGACTGCTAATCAATTGCTCCTTGCGACTGATCTCTTCTGGAAATTACTGCCAGCCCCATATTCTTTCTTTAGAAAGGAACCAACAGAAAATGATCAGCTCTCGGTTCATGCATACTACAGGTATTGCTAATTTGCCCTTTCCTGTGTTCCAAACAACATACTTAACAAGGTTTTACTGTAATAAGCGAGCATAAAGTGCTAAGATTTCTTTGTCAATTTGAACTGTGCACTGGCCATGTTCAAGAATTGCTTCAGAGATTTGAAAGCTGACCTCCGGTGTGCCATGCCACCAGTCGTGCACGTGGTCAGCTGCCGCCTTTGCAGCCGACATGGCACTGGAGAGTTTGCGTGCCGCGATCACTGCTGCCCCACGCTTCTGTACAGTCTGCATGGAAAATGGGCACAAGTACTTCAGACAACAGAAGCACATGAGAAAAAAAAGCACTAGCCACCACACAAATTTCAAAGTTTGCGAGATAGTAATTTAAACAGCACACACTATTTGAGAGATATTCAAAAGTTGTAATATTGCACACCCTTAATTTGCAGCGATCATGATGGTCACGACAATGTGAAAGAGAAAGCGGGTGTCAGGTGCTAATGTTCTTACAACACAGCCACTCAACACGTTTGCCACTCGTGCTGTCGAATTGACGAAATGCCGCAATCAAGGTTAATCTCACTGCACATCTCACTGCTGACATGCTGACATAGCCGTGAGGCACAATCGTGATGCGTAGTACTCAGAGGTGACTACCACATGTGCAAGATACGTGTGTAAATCGCAGCTTGCACACGAAGTGCACCAAACTTGCCATGCTTGCAGATGAACACCCGGTGGCATTACATTAAAAAATTTTAGAAGTCAAAGGCACTTCCACTTCAAATGCGGATGAGTTTGAGCCTGCACTGATGGGTGCACACACTAGACTGATGTAATGAGCCGCACAGCTGGCGGCATGCAACCGGAACTATATCTCGGCTGCGTGCCACTTTCTAGTCTTCTACAGTGTACTCTCAGTAAACGGAACGAAAATTTCTTGAACAGAATCGCTGCTTAACTCTTTCGTTACCAAGCGAGAATGGTTGTTTTTCATATGTCTCGAGAGGATCGTTTTTGCCAGTTTGAAAAGTACACTGCCACGCATTGCAGCGTACCAAACTTTGCAGAATAAAATGCTCTTTCCAAAAATATAGATTGTAGAGCAACAAAAATATTTTTGAGTGAATAAAAATGTGGAGAGTGTAAAATTTTTGTGTCACCAGCTGGTAAGCAGTTGAATAAAAAACTATATATGCAAAAATATTCAAAACAAAGAAAATTCAGAATATAAATTTTGTAGATGAATGACCCAGCAACAGTATAAAAGTTATTAATGATGTACAAAATGTTTCTCTTCACATAGAAAAAGAAAATCAGAACCGAGGTGCTGCTTCATTGCTCATGCCATGTGGTGAAGCATTGCATAGTTTTTCGTGAGGCGCAAGTGTACTTGTACGATCTTCTCAGTAAATTTTCATTGCCTTGCGATAAGAGTCTAGGAATTCCAATATTGATGGGTACCCGTGATGTGAATTATCGCTCTATAAATGAGATGTCTAATGAACTTCGCTATTTAATCTAGCGTCACCTCTTTCTATGAGCCACCTCACTCCGCATAGGTTGGCATATCATAATAAAGAAAGGACAATATCGCATGCAGTTCTAAAATGTTTTGCACTGCTCCGTAGTCAGAACCAAGATGTGCTTGGGGGCCTTCTTGCCGTCAGTAGAAGATCTGCAGCCAGCGCCACTATACCGCAGCCCTAGCGAAGTATGGACCATGCACGTAACTTGAGTAAGTATAAGATTATGCACAAAGGTCAGAAGCGATATGCACTTGCGGCAGAGAAGATAACTTGAGGATGTAAACAAAACAAACCCCTGAACGACTACGGGTGTCTCAGGCTGACCTAAAACATCATCCTCAAGCAGCGCATGTGTTTTGCAGTGCTGATGCGCACCCATGCGCGTGACTACCGCGTAATAAGAACGACTAGTGACACCAGATGTGACCCTGTGCCTGATATAACGATACAAGCAAAACCAAAGTGACTGGAAACTGGCTGTGAAAGCCACCTGCACACTTTATACATGCGGCAGACCTCGGGAAATATTTTTTGTAGCATTAATTTTTCCCGACTTCTAGCAAAAGCTCTCTATTGATTAGCTGGCATAAAGTTCTGATAATTATTACTGCTCAACTCGATCAAAATGGTAACGAAACAGCAGGAACAACTGTCTCTAACATGATTGGTTTCGAACTTAACTTTTGTACCCCTATTCATCTCGCAATAAACGAAACTTCTGTTACCAGAACATGTTTTCTTGGTCCATCCAAGTTTTGTTAAATGAACGTTTACTGTATAGTGCAACCACGACCTGACAGAAACGCTGCTTTGATGATAGCCGCTGCCGTGAATCTGGAGGGAACGAAAGATCATCATGCGAAATCTCCTTTGGTAGTTGTATGATGCATAAGCCCTGCATTCCACTCTAGGTAGCGAACGTCACTGGAACACCACTTTTGGGCGGTGTCAGCATGGCGTCTATTATCTTTCTAGCATTCATCAGCGTTTCAAACCCTGTCCCATGGCATGTCAACCGTTGCCGCCAAAACGAGTGCGACATCAAAATTCACAAATTCAATTTTCCTGGTGTGTGCACTACTTTCAGTTGGCTTTATGTGATGTCCTGCCAAAGGATTTTTATTTTACTTCTACGAAAGTCATCAGAGCATTCATGGAGCATTACCTTGTTAAATGTTTGTGCTGTGGGTATAACAGACTCATGCAGGTCACACGGGTTAATATTTTGCAAGCATGGATGCGTAGCGTAATAAGGCACTTACTTTCTGAAAGCGAAGGGTTCTGTGTTTAAATTCGAGCTCCGGAGTGAAAACCTTTTTGCTTAATTTTTTTGTAACAGCAATTGTTTTATATGACAGACAGATGGACGAACAGCTTTCTAATTGCGTCAGCACAGAAATTCCCATGTGTTTAAAATGAACAAAGTGCAAGCCATGCCGTCTTGGTTTCTTTGGTCAGTTATCCAAGTGCATGGTCAACCAGCTTGGCTCAACACTGCAATCAGAGTTCAGGTAGCCATAATATAGGAGCTACAAGTAACAAGAGAATGAAGACTCACAGTGAGGAATTCACCCTGGAAGTAGGCCTCATCCTTGATGGCGTCCGGGACCTTGACGCTCTGGCCATTCAGGGTCACAGAGGCATGGCTGGCATCAGGAAACTGAGTGGACGAGTGGTTGCCCCAGATGATGACGTTGCGCACGTCCGCGGCCGACACCTTCAACTTCTGGGCAATCTGCATTGCGAGAAACAAAAGGCGCGATACAGTGTTCCAGAAGGGGCAGCCGCAAAATCATCCCACAGTCAGGAGGAAATGAATATCCCCTCTTTCAATGAAATGAGAAGAAATCAGTATGTAAGGTGAACCACAAGCATTATGTGGCAGAAAAGCAGGATCTAATTACGAGGCGTGCTGCAGTGGAACGCTCTGGACTAATTTCAACCTCTGGTGTGACCTTTGTTCCCAGAGCACTTCAATAACTACAAGCTACAGCACTGCAGGTCAATGGCATGCAATAGTTTTCAAATCTTTACAGCACTGTAACGATTTTGCATACCACAGTCATTAAATGGCCTCATTTCACCAACCAGTCAAAGAAAAATCAGGCACTGGTCCCCATTGTGCGACCAAATTTTCAAGCTTTGCATGGCGTACCTGTCCCTTGGCCCTGTTGTGGTCGAGACGTGTCATGGCCGAGAAGTTCTCCTTGGGGATGGACGGCGCATACTTGGAGCAGATCAGGGCATTCGTGTTTGCAGGGTTGCCCACCACCAGCACCTGCGCACAGCAAGAAGTACAGAGGAACGTTCATCACAAGTCGCTTGATCATGCAAAGACTCGCACTTTATTACTAATCTGGTTGGTCCCAGGGAAACGCCTATACTAGTCGCATAATGAAAACCTCTGTTATACGACGCTATTTCACGCAGACCTTGCTTTGCTTGATTCTGGTAATGATTCAGTGTGACTGCAAATATTTCATACGAATACGGCTGCTCTTTGATTATCTGGATCAGGCCTGTAGCAACGGGGGTGCCCTAGGACACCTTCCTCACCTAAAATTTGGATGAAAAAGATGTTTACTGAATATGCATAATAAAAACAAATGTTTTCCTTATATAGTCTGGGTCTTCAGCAAATGGCATTTTAGTTTCTTTATAATAGGGAGAGCTGATATAAAAATATACAAAACTCGGACAATTTTTTGTCACTATTGGGCTTCTAATGCTAAGGCAACAACAAAGCAGTTGTGAGAAGTGCAGTTTGCCCACCTTGACAGATTTCTTGGCGTACTGATCGAGGGCGCTTCCCTGGCTCTTGAAGATCTTGACGTTAGCGGCTAGCAGGTCCTTGCGCTCCATGCCCTCCCTGCGGGGCATCGAGCCAACCAGGAAAGCCACGTCGATGCCCGCAAAGGCAACCTTCTCGTTGTCCGTGGCCACCACGTCTGTGTTTAACAATAATTCATAGAGTTTCCTCACATGCTGGGACCAATAACGCTGGCTACTGTTAAGGAAACGAAAGCCTACGTTACAGTCATGCCTGCGTGAACACTCTACCATGACATTCTTAGCCTAACCTATCCGACTTTTGCATGGACTGACATCGACAAAAATAGTAAAGCTTTAATGATATCTGCCAGCCTCTTTGCAGTCATTGCATGTAAAGTTGGAGCTCTCGAGGAGATTCCCTAGTGCCTAGACAATGTACTTGTTCCCTTGGGCAGTTGAAATGCCCAGAAACAACGCTAAAACCAGCATTAAAAAAAAAACTGCTTGCCATTTCCAAATGCTTCCTTTTTAAAAGCTTCTGCATGAATTTCTTTCTACTGTTCCAAAAAATAAAAGATCTGCTCTCTCAAAAGCTGGTAATACCTGCTGGTGTAAAGTTCGTGCAATATAAAATGGCTACGACTCCTGTGTGACAGTCACTATAAATGAAGTGCTTTCACTGAAAAATTTCTTCTTCGATAGAATGAGTCAAAACATGCATAGAACAACTGAATTCGACAATGGTGGTGCTAGAACTCGACTAGGCTCAATTTTCAATTCTCTAAGCTCAAAATAATAAAATACACTTTGAATACTTTAACTTTTCTCAGCAGAGCACAGTAGTGTTAAATGAATTGAGATCAATAAATCAACAATCAGTTTTTATGATTGTATAAACAAAAAAAAAACATCAATAAAGTACACTGACAGCAGTGGCAAGCATAAGAGTGAAGGTGCGAAGTTTTACATAACAGGACACATATATTAATTAAAAGTACGAATACACATTAATATAATGACTAACTACTCTACAATAAAAAAGTCAGTAGGAAAACATAGAAAAGGAGACGTCCCACACTTAAAACGAAACAGCAAGAAAATCACAAGCATTAAAAAAACTCCACACAAATAATTCAATTAGCTGGCGGCCAAGGGAATGCGGGAGTTGACAAACTAAACATGCTAGTGCACATTTTGCTGAACAGAAAGTAGGTGGCCGACCTTTCAGGAGAGGGAAGGCACAATCGACGAGCTCCATGACGACACCGTTGAGAACACCCATCATCATCGGTATATCCAGCAGGTGTAGAATAACAGGCTGCAAAACCGAAAAACCGCTTACACATCCAAACATTCACTTGTCCGTTACCTCTTTTAGTTCAGTGTTGTATGGTGCAAAATCAGCTAAGACTACGCTGTGGTAGTCCTTGGGTGTTAGGTTATGAAGACTGTAGTTACTTTTAGAAACCTTCTTTCAAAAGCCACACACTTTCAAAAATTCAGCACATCAGAAGAGACATGGATACGAGAGGATCATCTCCAAGAAGTGGAGCAAAGTCGGATAGATGTGTACTGATTGTACAGCTGGCTGAAAATATTTTTGCCTCTGCAAAGCAGTATTAGGGCACGCAACAACTATGTGTATAACTCTTAATGGTAGCTTCATTCTGCTTTAATTCATCAGATTGTGCGGTAACCTACAAAGTTGATGAAGACTCAGAAAACAAAGCTACATGCGACAAGTGCAGGGCTTTAATGGAGTCCTACTTACTCGAAGAAAAGTAAACCTTTCAAGAGTATATACATAGGATAAACAAAACATACAGGAAAGACTGAGTATTATAATATGCATGAATGGAATGTTTTATAAGCACTATATACCATTGTATGTTTTTATTAAATTGTAGTATTTATTATAAGACTGTGTAGCATACTGACGAAAATGAGGATTGCTTCATGTAATTGAAAAAAATACATGTACATGTATTCTTTTAACTTGTTCGTGACAGCAATGCAAGAATGAGTTGCAATATCTCAACTATTTATATTTGTAAAAAAAAAAAGAAACTTATAAGCACCGGCAGTCAGCACTGAGAATGAACAAAAAGGGCCATTAATTATAACAACATAGATAAAATATTCATGCAGAATTGAATAATGCAAATTGCTTGTCCCCGATTACAAGCGATGGTTCACTGGTACATCTGTCTATGCACTCTTCTACATGAAAAGCTTCCATTATTTAATGCGTTTACCAGAAAACAAAATATCATCACAAAAATCAGGATCACAATTACACAGTTCACATAGACTTTGCAAGTGTAATCATTGTAGTCAGTGACAAGGAATGTGCACTGTTGAATTCTGCATGAAGTTCTCGCCTATTTTTTCAGTTTTCTCATAATCCATGACATGTTTCGCACTAACTTACTGTAGACTGCTTGTGCTTATGAAGTTTTCATTTTCCAAAAATAAACAGTTGAGAGTTAAGCGGCCGTTTGTACCCTACACTGTGCCCTTGTTGTTTGCGTGAGCTGACAGTGGACAAGAATAGCAAGCAACTCTCCTAACTTTCACTTATAATGCAATGCCACTAGCACACGACTAACACAGTAGTAGCAGTACCCATCAGGAATGTCCCCTTCACATTTAGGAGGAAACGAAATGGCGTGAAACGCCGGTCTTTAGTTAGACACAACAATAAGCCAAAGATGACACAGCCAAAAAAAGCATGCGAGGTCTTATTTGGGGTGGGAATCTTACCAGCACCACACAAAGCCATGGTGGCAAATGTGGAACATTCTTTTTGCATTATGACGAAATGCTGAGGTGGTTTCATAAAAAATTACCATGGCTATGAGGTGCACAGTAGTAGATACTTTGGAGTATCACTGGTCACCTCCTTTCACACACCTATACCTAAGTATACAAGCACTTCTTTCCATATAAGCACTGCCTTTATGACTGGGAATCGAACCCACCCCTTTGTGCTCATCAGCACGATGTGAGAGCCAGTAAAGACCCTATGACAGCTGCAAGTACAAGTACCTTCGGAATTCTGTGTAAGCTACTGTCTACATTTACTCCAGCTGTGCGAACACTTGAAAAAAGGGAAGGCTACGTGCAGATGTTCAGTGATGGATCTCAAGCAGCTTACGCTTTGACTCAACAGCCACTTGCATGCAAATACAGGTATTGTTTTGTCCAGCTGGACTCACCTGGTCACACCCAAACACCTGGCCCTTGGCTATGATGGGCACCAGCGAGTAGGCAATCTGGCCTGCTGCGCCAGTCACCAGCACTCGAACAGGTTCCTTAGACTGCACAGGCAAACAGTGAAGCAGGTCACTATTAGCATGAAAGCAAAGTCTACACTCTGGCACAGCAGACTAAAGAGAAGTCTCCTAAACAGGATCACTGCACTGAATAGAACTACCTTTGATTCGACAATATGTTTAGTTTCGTGCTAATTTCTGCACTCCTGTTCACCTCTCAGTTTACAGGAGTACGGTTGAATAGGCTCCTCTCACATTTTCCTGCTCTATTCAGGTTCCGTTTAGCAAGAGTCTACTGTATTTTTTCACTTACACCTGGTTTCATTTCTTAGAGGATGCCCGAACCATGCTGCAAGGAAACGAATGTATTAGCAATACTGGCTGTTTTCAAACTGTCCGTGAATGCCTACCAGAAGTACAGTTGCAAAGCGCCCACTACGCCATAATTCTTTTTGCCAATCAACGGAGAGCCTACTAGGAGTCCGTAAGGCAACATGCGAACCTACTTAGCTGCTATCTTGTAGATGCTTTTGCTGATGATGATTAAAGGTATGAGCGCTTAGTAATAGGTGAGCCTTTAAAATACACACTGGCTACAATGTTTTAATGCCTGGTGCTATCTTGTGCTTCTGCCACGTAGTATTACGAGCGCTAAGTACACTCGTACCACTACATTGCATTCATAGAGCATTTTTGTTTTCCACAACAGTTTCAAGTAATAGCGTGGCTCTGTGGTAGAGCACCCGCTTGTCATGCAGAAGACCTGCCTTCAGCTCTCACTGAAATTGCAGACTCTTATTAATTACATTTGATTCTTTCTGACTTTTTCGGTCCCGGACAACGCCGCTTTCTCCCTCACAACCAAGGGCTCTGACACTGACGCCGACACTAAAACTTCTGAGCAACAGGCCCTTTAATGCTATAGCATTAACAGTGGCTCAAACAATTTTTCACGAACACCTGTCGACACACGAAGTCCCTCTACTGCATTATGAGCCAGGTGTTCTTCATATTTCTCCAGCACGGCGGGCAGGGGCTGTTAGGCTTGCGGTTAGCAACGTTCATGTTGCTGCCCATGAGCATGGGATCATACATCAAGCGAATGCAGTGCCACTGTTCTGCTCAGTAGAAACGAAGGTATATCTTCACATCTTGGGTTAGAAAACATTCCAACAATAAAACAGTATGACATTACAAACACAATACATAAACAATTAACCGTGCAGACTAGTATAAAGTCACGTGCTGGGGATCATATGCATGCTCTCTTTCATGCCAGTGGGAGGGCCAAGAGTGCTTTTTTGCAATTTTAGTCAATAAAGAAATCGCAGCATATCCACAGAGTATGATTGGTGGGGCGAAGCGTTCGTCAGTCTGCCCGTGCTTCTGTCTGTCTATGCGTCCATCCAATCATATGACCGTCGGTGCATCCATACGTTCGTCTGTACATTCGTTCTTCCATCTGTCTATTTGTTCGTCTGTCTATCAGTTGGTCCTTGCGTCTGTTCCCTCTGTCTGTCTGTCCATCCGTCCACCCTTCTGTCTGTCTGTCCGTGCGCCCGTCCGTCCATCTGTCTGTCTAGTGAACACTCCGAGTACAACCATCTCACATCTTTTCATCATGTATACATTATATACAAGTGCCGCCATCCAGCGGACATTCTAAGGACTGCTCTTTCGGGTATGTGCCACCGGTAGTTGCACACTACGACGAGGGACGCACAAGCCATGCCATAAGAAGCTTCACCCCTAAAAATATACATCTATATGCAATGAGAGAAACAGCCTTCATTCTAGCCAATGCGCTACTAGAAAATCTTTCCATTGGTAGGGTTATCTCAATTCGTGTTCTGGGCAGTTGTGTGTCTCTTTAATGTTGCAGAGATAATGTAATTGATACAGCCAGCTATGATCTTTTTTGGTATGTGGTTGCATTTAACGGATGTGCAGGGCAAAATGAGTTCAGTATGGTTGTAGTGCGAGAGTATTTGATGCCTACAATATAAAGGTGGTCAGTATGTGATACATGTATAAAAGTGATCAATATTCACTGCCATGAACTTCTGCATCTTTTGGACATAAGTTACATGAACAGACAAACTTACTTGCTTATGTGCCTGCAGAAAGGGCACACTATGTCGCAGCATCATAGCACCCGTTAACGTATTCATTTCGGGCCTTGTACTAACGTTTCAAATGACTATCAGAGAAGGCCTGCAGCCAATAAGCTTTTGTTTCAGGTTCCTGTGCCAGCCACAGCCACCCCATTGCGGATCCCTACGACTCTTTTACGACCTAAAATTCAAAACACAGAGAGAGCTACTTCTTTGTAACTTCAGCAAACCACGTTCTGAATAGGCACACCTGCAATAGCTGAACTACCCCTGACGATAAAGGCAGCTCCACACTAAGCCAAACTGCAACACATTGTAACAAGGAAGATGAAATAGCTACAGCTTTCGCGACGTCAGACATATGTATTGAATTACATTAGAAAATGCAGGTCAGATGGTAACTGTTACCTAGCCAAAAATATTAGGCGATGTTGCAGATGTCGTTACCAACAATTTTATTTCCTTGTTTCTTGCCTTTGAAATCTGATGAACAACTGTTCAATGGGTGCTTAAATGATCACATGATTTTTGAGTAATAAATTATTCGGCAAGAATGCTATTGCCATTGACTCGAAGTTTTTGTAACAAGAGAAAAGGGCCGAAAATTTTTCATCCGAGTTTTGCACAAGAATATTAGTATTACTGCATCAGTGCATCTGAAATGCCTGTCTTACTTTATTTTTTTATTTCAACCACATTGGCTGAATAAATTTTTTTTAACTAGCTATAATTATTAGTACTTAGTTGTTTTTATCGAATACAGTGTGAGATCAGAATAAGGTAATTTCCCAACAAAAATTCATTCTTTTCTACTTGGCATCCTTGATAATGTTCAGGTTTCATCATGTTCTAAATCTGTTGAAACTTTTTTCTAATACGAGCTGTAATTTTAATTATCTTCTATTTGAAGTGAGCACTCCGAGTTGGAGTTTTCTAGTAACATCCACCTTTCCAGCCTTTCAGGCAGGCCAACTTTCATACTCGTGCTGATTTCTGCAGCTCCTGCAAATGAGGAGCTCCGTTTTATCAAAACGAATACTAGGCTAGCTTTGGTGGAGTCGCAAAGACATGAACAGAATACTGATATCACAGCTCCCAGCAACTATATAACCTGCAGGCAACCTATTGGCAGAGTTCCTATAATGACCTTGCGCATGATCGCAAAGATCAAACGTTCTTGCATGCATATGTATGCAACTTCCCAATAGATATGGCAGAGATAATTGTGGTGCTGCAATTATTCTGATTGGCATGCAAATGAAGATGAATTTCTCTCATCCTTGGTAACTTCAGGTTATTTTATGGTTCATGGGTTATCCAACCAGTGATTGCATGACTATGCCATATGAATAGATTTGAGTAGCCGAATGGACAATTGATCCCATCAACTTGTCTGACAATATTTTCTTTTTCTGTCTGCCTTTTTTACGCTATCCTTTGTAGTAATACTGCTTTTTCGAATGCAGCAGTCAATAAGACTATGCACACAAGCATATTCACAACAATGCACTGCATTTACAATGCAATGATTTTTGACATATGATGAAGTCACGATGTCACAATGCCAACAGAAGCTGAAAGGGCGAGGCTTGGGCAAACCAATAAATTAGGTATTCATCTGTGCTCACTGAACATGATGCTCTCATCGCTGTTCAGGTCCCAAGACACTAACACCAGAGTTTCTTATAGTTGAAAAGGCAGAAAACTCTACGCTTGAATGCATTCGCATTGGTGAGAAAAAGTCACTCTCATTAGCCTGTTTCTATTGTTTGTATAAATCTGAAGTTCAATTGTAACAAACTAACACGGCCTTGGTCATGACAACCTATTGCAAATGAGTCGTCAAATTTCAAGTTCAATGACAACAACATTTATTCAACAGCAGATTGCCTCTGTTATACAGATATTCGTCATGTGTCTAGAGATAGGGACGTTAATTGAAACTCCTGAAGCAAAATATTTCCGTACTGCACTGCATACAAGTCTATCTCAGTCACAACAGCTGTTACAGACAGTTTAGGTAAAAATAACAAGCTATTAAACAATGCAAAGACATGAGCTTCCTCACCAAAATTTTATGCAGTGCTACATGCCACCTGAAACGAAACTTCTAGCCTACAAAGCATTCGTCAGACCTGTCTTAGAATATGCAAACGTCGCGTGGTTTCCCTTTACAAACAATCTCATAAATGCCCTAGAACAAATACAACGAAAAGCGATAAGATTTGTCTATAACAAGTACAGAATAACTGACTCACCCACAGAACTTTTAAAAAAAGCAGGTCTCTTAACAATAAAAAACCGCGCTAAACTGGCACGTCAGAAATTCCTATATCAGTTAGTTCACCAACAGCTAAACATAGACAGTTCAAAGTACATGTCATTTAAAGAAACAAGGCGAACACGACAAAAGCATTCTCAGACACTGAATGAATATCAGTGCCGGACGGACTGTCTGAAATATTCTTTTTTTCCACTAGCAATTCGCGAGAGGAATAACTTGCCAATCAGTATAACAAACAGTCAATCATTCGAAACTTTTTCATCTCTGCTCGAATGTTATTTATTGTCTTCAGAACTGACGAACTCTGTTTTTTTCTTGTCCACTGTTTGAAGTGCTCACATTTCTTTTTTTTCAGTACTAGTTGGAATTGATGTCCTATGCTACTGAATGTATTTTAGTGGTACAGATGTAGTCGTCAAATGTATTTCTGTCGGCTTTGTCTCACTCGTTATTATAATAATTCAGTGAGTACCCTCTGTATAAATCTTGCCCTTTCACAATGTATGTGCCCTTCCTGCAATAATCCCTAATTGGGATTGGCAGTATATGTAAATAAATAAAATAAATAAATAAATGACAGACACTGCTGGCACAGAAAGCAGAGAAGACACATACCTCTTTCTTTTTTCTGGCGAGTCAGAAAAGCCAGAGTAATAAATGTTATGCACATCTAGTGTATATATTAATCTTGGAACAAGGCAAGGTAAAACAAGCTCATAATAATTCACCTTGGAAGAACATTTACGAGTGCAAAAGCAGACACTATCGCAAGGACAAGGGCATGCATTTGTGTTACCCACCAGGCTCCATTTGTGCTATGAAGGCTGTATGAATGTATATGCATGCCTGGGATACTCTTTTTGTATTTGGTGACATTGTGCAAGCAATAAGTTGAAAAAAGATAAATTACATTAAAGAAAAATTGAGGCCACCCACACGTAACGTGTTCAAATGTTATTTCGGATGCCAGATGGAAAATGCTTATAAGAGCTTACGGGTCATCTATAAACTAGCTAGGTCTAACAATTTCTAACTCGTGGTGCCACGAGTATTCGCCACCAACTAGATGATACTCCCACAAAGGTCTACTATCCGAGTTTATGAAGACGACGCATCCCCACAAGAAGTCATATTGACAACTTGAACTGTATGCATACTCAGAACATATCTACAAGTCACACTCGTTTGAAAAGATAGAAACTGAACTAACTTCCTCCGAAATCTCACTCCAAAAGATTACTCCATAATATTTGGCAGGTTTTTATGAAAGTAGCTTCGATTATTTGGCTGTACCATATCAAAAATTTTTATGTGTATGTGGTGCTATGCAATATCCTGGAACTATAAAAAAATTATGGACTGTTTCCCCGAAGGGAACCTTGATGGAATGCGAAGCAGCAGCGGTGCGCACGGTGTTGAACTGGTTGAAACGGGTGTCGACATGGATGCTGAACAAGGCTTTGATGCAAAACTCGGCGTAGCGTTTACTCGAGTGAACGTTTGTTTTGAAACGCAAAGACACGGGGAGGCGGGGTGGGTTTCCTGTAAGTTTCATTGCAGAAAGACTGTTCACTCGAACACTGCGGGCGGTGGAGAGGGTGGACCGAGTGAGGTGACACGCGGCAAGCGGCGACAGGCTAGGAAGAGAGTGACGTCATCGCACGTGCACTGCGAGGGAAGGCGTGACCTACTTGGCACCGCCCCAACACCTGCGGCCAGGGTAGCGCGGTGCGGACGGAGGGACAGCGTTACACAACCTAGTCAAAGAGCTGCTTCGCATCTAAGTATAAAATGGTGCGATTCTTTTGTAAGAGTACTGGATGCTCGGCACAGGCATAGTTGATGACAATAATACAATACGAACATTCAGCAAAAAAAAAAAACCCAAACAGAAAGCTCGGAGAATTGGCAACAAATGATGATATGACGTCCACATAGCCCGCATTGTTTTCCATGTCTTACTTCTTGTACGCACAACTCCACCCCATTTAAATAAACTACGTGTAGGTTGCAAGTATTCTGTATTATATTCTGATTAATTTTTTTTCATGTAGACAAAAATAGTTTTGCTGAGTTAACTTCAAATACAATGCTTACATTCGTCATGTGAAACCGTTAACTACATGCCGGTCATCACAGCAAAGCACGACGACGTCCTGCACTACTAGTGGCCGTCCTTCGCGGCGTCTCTTTTCTGGGCCACGGCACAGTACTACGATAACAGCGGGCCACACTTCCTAGATCCGGCAAGATCCAGCTTCCAAAGTGAGATGGCAAAACACTGATATAAAGCGGCCTCGGATGCCCGCGAGGCCGCTATAAATACCGTTCCGCACCGGTTTATGTGACACGCCTGTTTCTAATACGTGGCGTGTATACGTACTATGCAAATTCCGTACGCCGAGCATAGAAACTGACTGCACTAACAACTACACTTAACTCGTCACGCTATTCACAAAACGCGTCTTTCATTCATCTCACTGGTAAACACCGGCAGCGACTGACATCAACAAAACTGACATATGAGGCGGTTTAATAGCTCGTATTCTTTGCGAAAGTGTAAACACACATACAGCGCTGATGTAATTCCATATTTTTCGAATGTGTACAGCTCTGATATGCGTAACGAGGGGTGAGTCTTCTAGGAAGTTTGCACGAAGGCCGACCAAGCGATTGTGCATGTCTCAAGGTCAAAGTCGTTTCCTCGTAACTTCGGCGGTTTGGTTTAGGCGCTTCAATCATTACAAAGCTGCGCTAATGCCTGGCATAGACGACGTATTGCTAAGCGCTAGCCGGGGAAAGCGTAAATAGCCGCGCTCACCATGTTCTCGGCGTTTACGAAAGACGAGCGAAACGAGAAAGAGCGCCTCCCTCCACTCTCTGGGACGACCGCAAAGAACACCGACCGAAACTTGTCCTCAAAGTGGATCGCCGTTCGTCTGCAGTTTAGCTCGGCTTGGCTTCCAACAGCTCTATCATCATTTAAGCGTGTCTTTAGCAAGCCTCCAAAATTTTAAGCGCAAAAAAAAGTTCTTCAACCAGAAAAATATTTGTTTAAATTTTAAGTTCACAAATTTACACCTCAAAAATCATACGTGCGTGAACAGTTGTTGTTTGTTTGCGTCATAAACATAATCTCTCAAACAAAAACAAACACATATCAAGTCATAAAATTTTATTTACTGTGTACAATAAAGGTATAGTAGTTTTAAATAAGGTGTTATTGGCAATTTTGTTATGACGTGTTTGTTTTGTGCAGCTCTTCACAGAAGGAGGTGCTGGCAGCGGCGGCAGCTGTCGGCAAATGCAACATGGCCGTCGATCGCTCAAAAAGTGAGTTACAGCTGGAAACTCGATTTATTTGATAAAGATGAGCTACACATTCTCGCATTTTCGATGTTTATAGTGACGTACGCCGTTCTTTGTTGAATCTGAGCGGGTGTCCCTAGCGAATTTTGTGCATACTTCGACGCCTAGTCGACCGCGCGAAACTTTAGGTTAGCGTCACGAAATTGGATTTTGACGCTTCTGCGGTGGTTTCGTCGTTAATCATGTTTGCGCGCGCGCGCCACGATCGTGTTTGCTTTGGCGATGAGTCAGGTGATGAGCGTATCGTTGAACTTATCAGCGTTCTAAAATTGAGATGATTCGTCGGCGCTTCTTTTTACGTATTTGAATAGAACAGCCTGCGCTTATATCAGACCCGTGCCGCTTCGGTCGAAAATCCTGCCGTCTGATTCCAGGTAACGCAGCTTTACCTCTTGCTCTGTTTCGCGTAGTCTCACTGAGCAGTCTTTCATTTGACGCGAACCTGTAGAAAGATGGAAGCAACGCTGAACGGCACGACGTACTTGCAATTGGTTAAGTTACAGCCGGCTATATGACATCATTACACATGGTCTGAGACATTAATTCGTTCGAACACTATGTCAGGGGTCTACTTGTTCCACAGAAACCGCTCGTAGTGGATGGATCTAGAGAAAGTTTCGGCCACCTGCGATCTTGTTCAACTTGTAGCGATCAAAGCGTTGGTAGGGGTAGGTTGTTCTGCGACCCACCCATCATCGGAATGCGAACCACCTGCCCCGCAAGGACAGGTAGTCGAACCCACGATCCACTACTGCTCGGTGCGGAGCGCTCTGCAGTTTGCTCCGACCGTGTATTTGACGGCGTGTTTCAGCAGCTGTCGATGAAAGGGGCGTGCGGGCAGGACACTACGTCATCGGAGGTGTAACGTCCCCAAAGAGTCCAGCTGCGGCGCCCTAGCCATGCTCGGTCGTCATCCGGATCTGTTTTGTGGACGAGCTGGCGCGTCATTCTAAACAAACGCTTGTAGCTGCTCAAGGAAATAAGTCGAAGAAAGCGGCGCTGAGACACTTGTGTTGGTTCATAGGGCACAATAGACAATAGACAATAGGCAGTCTGAGAGCAGGGAACGCGTGATTGCGAGGTAGGACTGGAGGATTCCCGTCTGCAGAGTTTTTTTATCGGTCACGGCCGTGAAAAGCGGGCAGCCTTCGGGCGCGGAGCACTTCCCGTGGAGCACATAGATAACGCAGGTGCACCTTTTATATAGCCACTCTTATTTCTTCGGCGTTTACCCGCCGTCGCTGTTAAGCAGGCAGATAGTGCTGTGCTTGCCGATAAGCACGAGGGCGCGGGCTTCGAATCGCGGGCCACGATGGCCCCATTTTCGATGGGAACGAAGTGCAAGAACCTCTGTTGTACTTGTTTCTTGGGACATGGTAAAGAACGTTAAGTGTCAAGATTCATTCAGATTAATTTACTCACTATAGTATGCCTCATAGTCGTACCTGTGAAGGAAAGAAGTCGACATATAAGGGCTCATCTTTCTACTAGCAGGCAATGATGCTAAGGAAGTATAGGAGGTGTTTTTACTAGTAATTGTGATGCAAATGTGAAACAAAAGTGGATTTAAAGGATAATGAAAAAAAAAATCATTCTTAGATATTACTAATCGTACTGTGGTGTTTCGGCACATAAAACCACACAAATTAACATTTTCGTCATTGTGTTGCACTTGGAATGGAAAAATACGGCCTAGAAAAGGCCATTATCGCTCATCGCTGAGTCGATATACTGATAGGGAAAGTGATGAGTAATATTTATGTTACTGTTAACATAGGAGTTTCAGCAATTAGCTCGTGATGAGTAATGCTCATTTCATTGTTAACGCATTAGTGGTCACGGTGACGATAAGTGATGATACTGCATTATCAAGGGTCTTATCGGCATGCTCAGCTGTCGTCTCTGCATTGTAACTGTTTGGTGGTCCTTTCACGTCAGGAGCTAGGTGACACCATTTTGTGTTGTTTGTTTGTCATATTGCAGCAGTAATGATTTCTCTCTGCTGAAGGGAAGGAGGCCTCAATCCTCGCTTCGACATGTGAATTAATGTTCTTGGAGACATTGAAGTGTTCTGACCTTTTATGGCAAGAAATCCGGACTGAGCTGCTTTGCTTTGAGACTGGCCTGGCCATTATGATCGACTGTCTATAAATGTGTGAAATTTTACATAATTGATGAAGGTTTGGAGACCAAATTTTAAGCAAGTGAAAGTGCTAGAATAAATTATGGTGCACTATGGCAGTCATTCGTAGATGTAATTTATGTGCCCCACCACTGGTGGTCTAGTGGCTGAGGTGCTCAGCTGCCAACCCGCAGGTCGTGGGATCGAATCCCGGCTGCGGCGGCTACATTTTTCGACTGAGGCAAAAATGCTGTAGGCCCGTGTGCGCACGTTTGGGCGCACGTTAAAAAACACCAAGTGGTTGAAATTTCCGGAGTCCTCCACTACGGCGTCTCTCATAATAATATAGTGGTTTTGGGATGGTAAACCCCACATATAAAATCAACCATTAGTTGTAATCTATGTAAGTATTTAATTATTATACATTCAGTCATGCTGCATTTCTTCATAAATCGTATTCAATGACCCACTCAAATCACATGTGGTAATTATCTACTGGTAGTGAGTACTCCTCAATAGGTAGAAAGAATTTGGGAATTGCTGCAGAAACCTTCCACTCCAGCATTGTGTAGCAAAATATTATTAATTAGAAGCAATGCAAAAGAATCTAAGGCAAAAAGAATGCGTAATTTATCACTTGCACAGTATTTGCAGTCTGTTTCTTGCCAATAGTGCACAAAAATGGAAACGCATGGCTGCCTCACACTCATTAAGACTCACGGCTCTCTTATTTGCACGCTTGCAAAAACTGTCCATGTGTGCACACAAGTGGTGACTACTATGCTTTGAAAAGGCAAAGCATTTACTACTGGAACAGCACTCTACTTTGACAGGCCATAGCGCAATGTGCAGGTACAGCAGAGGGTTAATAAATGAATGGCAAGATCTGCTTGACATCCTTCTGTTCTCATGGTTCCAGTTTCTCGATCTTTATTTGTTCATGAAGAATCTATAAGATGCTGGCAAAATGCAGCAGCATTGTCGATGCTCTGGGGATCCGCCAAGCCGGTTGGTATATTTGTGTGTCTTTGATAGTCTCTGAGAAAGCAGAACAAGAAGTGGTGCCTCAATTTCATAATCAAAGAGTGAGGTGTCGAGTGCAGTAACCTAATTTACATTTCTTCGACTTCCTCTTAATTTCCTCGCACCTTTCTGAGCCGTGAATGTGTCTAACTCGAGCAGTGACTTTTTTCTCTCATTTTCTGTATGCCACGAGTGGTAAGAAAGGTACCTGAGGTGCTTGTTTGCTATTGGTCGCAATCATTCCTAAGCCTGCAAGACTGCCAGAACCGGCGAAATGGTAGGGTAAATCATTTGTCTTGTTTAATTGGTGTACATGAGAATGATGAAGTGAAACCAGTAAGAGAGTGGTTCGAGAAAAACAGGCTGCCTTCAAATGGGATCTGAAACCATTTCTTAACATTACATGTTTGATGAACTTTCCAGCTGAGTTGTCGTGGTAGCATTTTATAGATATTTATAAATACGTTCGTGAGAATGTTAGCTTGAAAATCGCCACTGACTGTCATGGCCGGTGCCTATGGCTACGAGGGGGGTGGGGGGAGGGGGCGAATTCTGGCGTCATACATTGACTTAATAAGGAGGGGAGTGGTCACTGCCTAGGATACCTGCTGTTCATCAATCGCACCTAAATTTAAGAAATCTGCAAATGGCAGGCATGATTTAGGTATCACTTGGGAGTGTTTGGTTGATTAGCGTGCTAACATTCTCGTGTAACTAACCTAAACTCATAAAATAACTTATCTAAACAGCATGGCCACTGGGCAAACAGATAACAGAGTGGTCATGCCATATGTGCGTACTGTTTCACGCTAGTTGAAGAAGATTGGTTGTAAGCGTGGGGTAGACATGGTACTCCTGGCCCCCTGAAAATTGGCTAAGCTGTGCTCTAAGGTCAGTAACCATGAGAAACAGAAAGCAAGCAAAGAAGAGTGCAAAACAAAAGTGCCCTCCACTCTTTTCTGTGTACCTCTGAGATAGGGTGCAGAATTCTGTTGAGCTGTTGAAAAATGCACATCGGCCAGACGGGCCGTCGTCTAAATGATAGACTCGGAGAAAATGCACTGTTATCGAAAGCTTCTGCGGGGAGCACACCCTTGACTTTGCACAGCATTGAATGCAGGTGTGGTCTGCACCTTACTAGCACTAATGTGCTCTGCATGTCTAAAAATAGACTGGCCAGGGAGATCAGATAAGTTGGACAGAGAGTGCTCTCAACCATGTGCATCAATCTTCTCTTGTTAGCATTGACAGATAAAGAAATAGACTTTCTGAGTTGTTAAAGCAAAGGTATATAATCAGTTTGGTTAAGTAACCTTCTTGTTGACAGTGTTATTTTTTGTGATAAGGTGGCTGCATCCATGCTCCTGTGAGAAAATCTGTCAATAAACATCATTTAAAAGTTAATGTCTATCCTATCAACTGGTTTCCTTCTGATCCTGCTTTTTTTCCTCTCATACAATTCACAATATGTTCCACCTGCTGGCCCGGCATAGCCTCATCCTCAGTTTCGTAGTAATGTATTGCTTTTCATAGAAAAAGAGCTTGTCAAATCCGGAGGTGTTTTAGGCGTGGTTTAGGTGCATCAATACTTTCAGCTATCTGTCGTAGGAGCATTTGTAACTGTGTATGTGAAAGGGCAACCTTTGTTTTGTAGAATTTCGTCCTGTACGGTGTCCAGGCTAAGTGGGCCCCACCCTGCATCACGATGGCAGAACTCGAGGCGGCCCCTTTACCTGAGGGCAACGATAGAGGCCCACAGGGTGCGGTGGCCGCCACTAAAATGGACGCTGGCAGCTTTGATACGCCCTGTGAGCATGACGAATTCGACGATGATGATGACTTCGGACACTTTGCGACTGCCGCCGGTGCACTTCCAACATCGGCAGCAGATGCGAACCACATTCCAGCAGCGGACAATGCGGCCACCTCGGTGGTGACCAACAATTGTGATAGCACGAATGGGACGTCGTTGCCCAATATGTGTACATGTGATAGTGATGATGACAGTGGGACTAGTCGGGATGCCAGCGGGCCGGCTCGTCGAGGTTCAGCAGACCTGCCATCTTCCGGTGAGTCCGGCGGCGTTAAGAGGGAAGACAGCTTTGACGACTTCCAGCAGGCCGTGGCGCCACCTCCATTTGAGGCAGGCGCTCGCACCGGTGGAGGAAGGAAGCGACTTTGCTGATTTTGAGCAAGCGTGTGATGCAGGGGTACAAGATGACTGCGAGTGGGGCGATTCTGGTGGGGACGGTTTTGCGGACTTTGCAGCTTTTGGGGACGCGTCTAAGACGGCCGTCGAGGACAATGATTGGGCCGACGATGGCTGGAAGTCGTTTGCTGGTGCAGAGCATAGTGAGCGTCGGTTGCGTCGTCCATGGCGATGCCGCAGCAAGGGATGGTCCCTACTCAGGTGTGTACTGTTTTTAACATTCGAATTTTGTTTATCTCTCTATACATGAACCTTGTAGGATGTGGTCATTTACTGCTATATATCAATTTAAAAGAGAGCATATGAACAATGCAGGGGCATTGTATTGCATTTCGTATTTCATGCAGAAACATCCTGAGTTTGTGTGATACTGCAAACATGGAAATACTTTCAAACATCTTGACTGGTTTTCCAAAATGTTCCCAAGTGCGCTGGTTTGAGTCTTTCTATTTCGGAATGTTATGTTGTTCTTATGATAGATAGTTACCAAGCAGCGAGGAAGCGCTGTCGAAAGGTATGGTTCCCCTAGAAGTGTAAATGTCTTTAAAAAGATATTTTGCCATAAGTTAGGCAATACCAGTACTACACCCGAAACACACATTTAAAAACTGATAATCATCTAAAGGTGTCCAAGACTGCCATGACAGCGTGCTTCCTAAGCTGCAGGATTTTTGGCATGTACCAATAATTTGACTTTAATCAAGACTTTGCGGGAAATGCAAAGCGCCTTTGTGACGTGTGTCACAAAGGCGCTTTTTTAGCAGGCTACATTAGACAGAAGATACTAAGGCTACGCACCAAAGCCGGATCGTGCAAACTTGAATGAAATATAAGAAACCGGGAGTCCAGGCAGAAAGGGCTCCAGCATTGCATACAAAGAAAAAAAATTGCTTTACCTTCATTTTTTCATCATCGGTGAGCTTCATGTCAATCGAGTGTAGTGCCACAGAGCTATGTCAGTCGCATCAGAGTCTGTCTAATAAGGTGTTTTACGCTAAAAAGCGAGTTATGGTAATCTAGTGGTCTTGGTGCTCAACTGCTGAATGAAAAGTCGCGGCACTGCAAGTGACGTTTGCACTTCAGTCATGAGACTGCAGACATTTAAAGCTTCGTAAAGGAGCACTGACAGTAAATGTTTACTTCTGACTTCTGGGCTTAATAGGTAGCTTTATGTCTGATGGTCCCGAAGTTGAATTGTAAACGCTCTCATCGTGCGGGAAAGAATGAAACAGTGGGCGTGCTGCGGTATCTGGTAGGGTGCCACGCAGCAGGACTGATTGTCCTGGTGAAATTTCTGCGATATGCCAGCCTGCCAAGCACCAATTTAACAGTAAAGAGTGACTGTTCAGAAGTACTGACTCAGACATACATACTCAGGACTCAATTTATGTAGCATGCCTCAGTATGCAGTGAAGCCAACGGGAAGAATAATCAGTCTTGTGGCTAAGGACAACGAACGATTTATTCAATACAAAGGATCATTTTGGCCATCTGTCTGCCCTGTGCAGAATTTGACGTTGTTTGTGTTCGTCAATTCTTGCATTACACTGGGCTCACATTTTTACCCCACCCACCGATATGTGCACACAAACACACACGCTGCCAACACTCCGTGCATCTCATCCCCAGGTAAGTGTCCGTGCAGGTGCATTTCGCCCTTGTCAAACTTCGCAGGGCAGCACATTCTGTAAGTGCGTAATCGACTGTTTAATGGGTCGCAGAAAATGCGTGGATAGCAAATGAAAAGTGAATGTGCAGTGCTGCTTGGAAGCTATTATAACAACCTTTGGAACCACAGAATTTTATACTGTGTTTGGTGCTGGTACATCAAAGACACTCTTTCTTACAGCATTTGAAATGTCTCTGGTGTAAGCAGCGCACAACTGTTTTGCGACATTCTGGCAAATAATTCAAGATCATCACTCCGAATCATCACACCTTTTCAAGCACACGGCAAATCACTCGAAACAACATGGCAAAAAATGCGGAAATGTCAAGAAGCAAGCTGGGCAATCAAAGTGAAATCACTGCCTACGGTTGCCACCAGTCGGTGCCACGATGACGCTGAGATTGTCGACGATGTTGTTACTAGCGCATCGTCACTCAGCGCACTGGGGTTGGTGTTGGGGGGGCTCGCTGAATGTCTTGTGACAGGTGCTGAATGCCTCCCCTCCACTCCCTCCACCACCTCTCTTTTTTGCTCAGCCTTCGAATGCTGTTTCTTGTTGAAATAAAATAACTGTCATGTAACAGGCGCCATTCACTCTTTGCCAAAAAGACCTATGCACACCAAGCTATCAAGTGAAGGCCACATCACCATCTTGGAATTTGATGCCACTGAAACTTAGAAGGCTGTAGGATCGGTCATGTTGGTACAACATGATTATGAGTGCATATCAGTGGAACCAAGAGGAGGGGACAAAAGTGCTGAAATGTGTTTTAGTTCTTTAAGAGAACATTATAAGAAATTGTTGGAAGTTCACTGCTCTCTTGTGCTCTGTTCTATCGCCTCCTGTTGGTTGTACTGATTGGCAGTCATAACCTATGTCACTGCTTATTTAAGGAAACTTAACTTGTGTTCAACGGCAGCAACATTCAAGCGACATTCCATCCCAGCCTCTTAGCAGACTATGACTTAAGTACTGCCATACACTTCGCGCTGTTATCCTCACCGAATGTGCTCTTTCAAAAGAGATGCTGCACGGTGTACTTTAATTCATGGAATTGCGAGTTTTGTATTGCGTTACTGATTGAGGTCGTGTGTCATGTTCACTACATACAGTGCTTTCTGGCTTTTGCTTGGGGAGGGGGAGACGTTACTTTTCTGGCCCCAGGAGGCGTCTCATTAGGAAGAGCACCTACACGTTCCTTAAAAAAGCTCAGGAGCCCTGGCCAGGTTGAAGCGCTCAACATATTTTGCAGACATGACTGCCAGTGCATGATTCACAGTTGTCTGTTTGCCATTGCACAAACATGGTGACATGGTCTTTAAAGGGACACTAAAGAAAAACACGAAATCAGTTTAGACTAATGAAATAATTCTTCCAAAACTCTGTTACAATAATTTCATCAAAAGGGGTTGGCGATTGCTAGGAAATATAAAGGTTGAAATTTTCTGTTTTGAACGGGGTACCTAAACCTCAGCCTCGATATATCACTCTGGTGCTGCAAAATCCAAGATGCTCATCCTTCTTTCTTTTTTTTTCTTATTTGGGAAATTTTGCCTCCGTAAAACTTTCTAAAATTTTTGAAAGCATTTGGCTGAAACTGGCGTATGGCATCTTTAGCATGTTATGCATTGTGCCCTCAAGTTATCTAATTGATTTAGGTGTTTTGATGTGCCTAAAGGCTACTGTGTGGTCACGAGCCATGCTGTTCAGTGGGCTTGTTATTAATTTTTGGTTTGATAAAATTTTGGGCATTTTTACATTCTGCCCCCATCCACGTGCAGTCGTTACAAATGGGAATCAAGCTTGTCCTCTCATACTTAGCAGCACAAACTCTGTAGCTTGTCATGCCGCTGTCGATGTGTGTTGCTTAGTTACCAGTATTACTGAATTTAAGTATTCTCAGGCGAAATTCATAATATCCCAGGGGGCTGGTAGAAGACATTGAAGATTTTATTAATACTCATCAATGTTCTTTTCTGGCCTGCCAAGCCTTTCATCAAGTTGAAAACGGCTTTTGACTGTCCTTTTGCACGGCAAAGGGGTGATTGGTCAACACCACAAATTGTTTTTCTTGGTTGTACCTTTAAACCACATGTACAAAAACATCCATGTATCCGCTATTTTCAGTTGGCATCAGGAGATGGCTCATTCGAGAACTTGATCCAAAGAGCATATGCCCTCGAGGCTGGCCTGTCACATCCTGTTTCTGCGAAGGAGGATGAAGACTTTGTGGCCCTTACCTGTTGCGAGGCACATGTTAGGTGAGTGCTTGGTCATTGTCGATTGACATTCATTGTGGCAGCATGGCACATGTTGGGCTAGGCCTAAATAATTTGAAGATTTTCACTTGCCTTTGTTGAATACGCTGTGCACTCCTTACAGCAGACCTCGACAAGATACAGGCACGCTGTACATGACCCTGCATCAAAATTTGTGACATGCTTTCTTCCTCCCAATCCGGCTCCAATCGCTCTAACATTGTATACATATTTTGATGCATGCAGACTGTGGGAGCAGCTCCAGGATCTGGATCGTGCCCCGTCACTTAAGTTCAGCTGGAATGGCTCACAGTCGTGTCAGCATTTGCTGCAGAGTCTCTCCATTGACTCTAGAAACATTGTGAGTAATGAGCAGCTGCATGTGCTGGGTTGAGCTAGGCTGTCAGTTTCTAGCATTACTCTTAGGCCACACACTGTTTACCCCAGGCTGGTCACCGTGTAGGATGGGGCCGGTCCTAAGTTGTTCTACAGGAACGCTTGAAGTAACTTATTCTATCACTTGCATTGTGCGGTGGCAGAGGGACGTTCAACGTTGTTGTGGTGTATTGTAAGCGCGATGAAAAAGCCTTATTACTGTGGACATCTTATCGGCTTAGAAGAGTTGTTTGTAGAGCCAGCTGTCAAGAAAAGTTATCGTGTGGTTTAAGTGTTCAAAGGTAGATGCCTCTTGAGGATAAGTGGACCGGGACAGTGAAACCGCCTGGTATTGGTGAATCCCCTAGGGGATGTCCTGGCGCATTCGCTCAAACTTGACAGGCGCCTAAAGGTTGGGGCGACTTCTCTGTTGCATCTTGAGAACCCTTTTTGTAGCAGCATCAGCCTTAAGTCCTTGCTTGTTGATATGTGCTCTCATATGTTTGTACCAGTGTTTAAGCATATATGCTATAAGTAAAGTACTGCATTAGTTTTGGAAAGTTTTTTACAAAAGGTATGTGTACACTGCAGGTCTAATCAATTTTATTTCTAAAATTGTTCTATAATGAATTCAGGGCAATACTAACCTGCGCCTGAAAGATTGCAGCTTTACTGACAATTTTTTGCAAACCAAGCTCTGTACTTGCTAACACGTTTCTGTGTCTCGTCCTTTTCTCTCACTGTGGTGCACCCTCCTTTCTTGCCTCTCTCTCTCTTCCACTAACAACCACGGCTGCTGCATTGCTGTGCTGCCCACTAACCCTGCCTGCTGGTGCCACTGCTCCCGTCATTGTCACTGTTGTGGCTGACTCGCTGTTGTAATGATCCCATCGGTGGGCGGCCTGGTATCGACGACAGCTGCGTAACCCTTCAGTTCCACTGTTTGCCTCCCACCTGGGTCTGCTGGAGCCCCAGCGCGGCAGCACGGGCAGCCCCTCCGCGGAGGAACCGGCATCCTCCGCGCCCGCCCCTTCTCTTACCTGCTGCGAGGTAATGTGTTGGCTGGCTACAAGGGGCGCGTGGCCTTTGCATCTGTAGCTTGTTAAGCGGTATTCACGTGGGTGACTTCTCCCAGGGCTAAAAGGGCCGAGCCGTTTCTGACATCATTTTCCTTGAAGCTCCTGTCCACCCTTCACAATTTCTAAGGCAGTGCGCTACAGCCACTGAGCGAACATGATGGCTGGGACACTTTTGCTTTCCCTGAATCTTCCCCAGCGGAAACATTCAGTTCAAACTGAATTAACTTAATAATCCAATAGGCCACTGGTGATGTGAAGATATACACGGTATGCCTATGAGAAGAAATTTAGGCTATGTCAATGGCAAATGCAGATCAAAATCTTGTTGCAAAAGCACAGCATATCGCAGCCAAGTTTTGGTTTCTTTATTATGTGACCAGCGTGTACTTTGCCACTCTGGCTAACACAGTGGGTTCTCTTTTATTTACTGTTGTTGTTATTTACTGTTGTACAGTTGATCTCATTTTTTGCTGTTGTCTCTTATACACTCAAATATCATTATAGCATAGTTTATTGAACAAAAATAAGCTTGTTATATCCAAAAATTTGTTATAAAACTGTATTCTGAAACTATATTGCAAGAATAGTGTTCTTCATTAACTTCCTTATAACACATGTTTAGTTATAGCCATGTTTCTTATATTGAGGTTTGAGTCTACCCATTTGTCTGTTACGTTGCTGTCTTTTTAAAGGGGTTCGATTCTTGCCTGCATCAAGCAGGCACTTTGGTTCATGATCAGGTCCGATCGAAATCAGTCCCGTTGGGTACTAGTTGTTGCTGTATTGTCTTTTTCGATCATAATGATGCCCGTTTGAGAAGACGGTCATGATATGACTCTCAGATCGCAATTTGACTGATACATGTGACAAGCGATTCGTGTTAAGTAAGTGTAGCTACAACAATCGTTGATTGTAGTCAAGAGAGCCTAACCAGGTTAGCCCGCATTGCAATCAGAAGTGCCCACACAGCGGTGGTTTTAGAAACGGTGTTTGGCGTTGACACATGTCATGGGTCCATGCGCAGCAGGCTGGTGCAGACTGTGCCATCCCTCCAGCTCAGTTTGACTGGAATTCGAGTGGGCTGGTGAACCCGCTAGAGCAGCCTGCTGCGTCAACCTTGCTCGACCTCGAGTTCCTTTCAAGCCTCTCCTCGGCCACTGTTGGTAGCAGTCCTCCAAGAAACAGTGAGTGCAGCACTACAGGCGTGGGATTTTTTTTTAGCTTTGCATGCTTTTAGTGGAGAATCAGGTGTAATACTCTTTGTGTGAGAGTATTAAAAGCGTGGAGTTTTCTACACTTATCTAGAGCAATGATGAAAGTGCTGCTCCGATTGCTCCAAACTGCTTCAAAATAAAAATACTGGTCTAAATTGCAGTTTTTCTTGGTAATTGCTCCAAACCCACTCTAAAATGGCACTGAGAAAATGAAGATGAGCAGGTTTAACTGTGCGACCAACTTCAAGCTCTAAAAAAAAAAAAAACTGAAAAAAATGTCTATGCTATGATCCAAGCTTGTTAATATGCAATTTTGTTGGCTATTATTTATGCAGCAAAAACTGGCATATCAAGCTTTCAGATCATTAACTGTTTTTAATTTTACATGCGGGATATTTTGGCGATATGTGAAAATAACCGAGATCGTACTTTAGGTATATAGTTCATATCACAGGCATTCACTAAGCAACCTGATTGTTCGTTTCTTGCAATTTTTGTTGATTGTAGTAGGCTGTGAAACATCTTTCGTAATAAATATTAATATTTATGTGACACTTCAGTGACGCTTTGAATTCCGCGTGTTGTGTAACATATTTTTTAATCTGCTCCTAAAACACCAATGGCTGCTTCAGACCGACACGGTCACGCACCGAATTGCGGCTTTCAGTGAAAAATCGAACTAGAGGGTCCATTGTGTATGTCCATATGTAAAAAATGAAGCGTAAAATAGTATTTTAATTGCGAAATGATGTTTAGATGCCGCGGGCAACAGAACCCGCCCATTGCCGGCGACCGCCATTTTACCATGGCCCGTGTGACGTCGTGAGCTTGATGGAGTGGAGCCATCGTCTCCTAGCTAAATTTCAGCCGCTGCCAATCGTTAACTTTTCAATGCCAAGCTTAAGAAATAAGTAATTGCTTCATTGCATGCGCAGATGACCACGAAACAGAATTGCGGGCTGGAATACGGGCGCTCAAAAAGCAAGCGGCTCGTTACGTCACGGCTCACGAGTGCGCCAGCGCCGTCAGAGTCCCGTGTTGCCATGTGTTTATAAAAATGCTCGTCATAATTTGAGTTCTCAACGTAATGCGCTGCGATTTTGCCAGATTGTTTGTGAACACCCTAGAACTAAGCCACATAGCAGAGATTATGAGCGAAAATTGGGTATCGTGGCTCCTTTTAAGAAAAAAATGTAAGCTCTGCCCATGGTATCGTGGTGCATATGCCCTTCACTAGCAAAAGGCGGTTGTGTTAGCCGACTCTTTCTCAATATCATTAATGTTGTTTCCTCCTCCCTTTTCTCTCGATTTTCAATTACCCTATTTACACGACAGTAGGTTGACCCATTTTATTCAAACGTGAGGTTGGTTGGGGGAGTTGTAAGTTGACTTACAACCGAAAATAGTGCTGTAAGTTATGGTAAGACGAACGAGAAATCGGGATGTGGTTATGAGATTATGTTTGTGTTCCTGCTCTACTTATCACATATACTGTATTTTCTCATGTTTAACTCGCATCCTCAGCAAGAATTCGTGTAAAATTTTCTAAAAAAATATAAAAGATATCCCACGTGTTTCCGGGAAGCAGCCTTTAGTGCAAAGCTGTGAAGCCACCTTTGCACACCAGAATTCGAGTTTTTTTGTCTTTACAAAATGCTTTTCGGGCTTACTCGGTGATACACTCTTAGAATATTCCTCCCCTACCTTTTACTTAAACAGAAGAGAGAAATTTGTGATAGGACGAGCGTTGAATACAAATCTGAAATCAGCTCCCATCCTGACTGTATAATTGGAGCCAGTTTTTATTTTTTTGGACGTGTATCTTTTTGAAGGGGGTAGACTTACATTAGTGTAAATATACTTTTTTTCTTGGCTAATGTAAACACTATGCATATTAGGAGATAAAGACTTGTTGTTACTATTTTAAACATTACGTTTGGCTGAGCAACTGTGTCATAATCCCTGACAACCTTTACCAGGATTTAAAAGTTTCCAACCTAAACATCGACACGGACGTGTGTGTGTGGATAATTCAACTAATTCGAGCACTCAAGGATGGCATGGCTTATGAAAATGAGTCATTGCTATTGGAGTGAGCACTTATGCAAATTCTTTGTGTGAGGAACAGCTGTGACTGGGGATGGAGCTGAGATTTTTTTTATTTGGTTGTAAATGAGGGTAGAGTGTGCGCTCATTGGTGCATGCTTGTGTGCATCCACGTTTAAGGGGAAATGCTGCTAGAGGAAAAAAGTTTCTTTAAGCCTAGGGCAATAAAATTCTTAGTTTTTATATAGGTTCTTAGGCTGATTTCAAATATATAATCAGTTGCATAGTTTTCGTTTTGTACCATGACAGTGTCTAAAACATAGCTCTTTTCGGTTGCACTTTTTTAGCTCCGGGTTTAATCGTTGTGAGCTGTTAATAGGTTATATTGCTCTACATAACTGTGGTTTCCAAATAACTAACAAGTGCATATAAGACATTTTAATGAACAAGAAGAATTGTCATGTGAGAAGTCTTAAAACGCTCAACCCATACTAATGGTTTACTTTGTGCTCATAATAATTATTTAAGTGATATCCCATTTTAAAGGAGATAGTTGCACTCCTCACATATTGAGGAGTATGTGGAAAAAGTTTCATCCCAATCTGGCCATCAGACGTACAAGAAACACGATGTTGAGTCTCACGAAGTTATGTAAAATTGCATCATGAAAAAAAAACGCATTTTATATATAGAAATGAAGGCTCATCTATGTGGCAAGGATATGCTTTTCGAAATGATTTCTTCCATCATGTGAGCTTGGAAGTCATGGTTATTTTGAGCATATGGCCTTAGTGAACACCTTATGTGAAATTCAAGGGTAAGCAGCCAGGTCACTACTTACACGGTATTCTAGACATAGAGAGCTCTTTATGGTTCTTAATTGTCAATGTTGCACACTTTAAAATTGATTTAACCTACTTTGAGCTTAATTGGAACCTTGATTTTTTCGTTGTCATGAAAGTAGAGAAAGTTAACTAGTGAAAGCAAGCAAGAAAAAAATACATACGCAACTGTGGAAAAAAAAATGAGTTTTTTGAGTAGCATCTCCGCCTAAGGGGGAAATGTGGCTGCCTCCTAAAGTTTTACCCAACTATGCTATTTTAAAGCATTGCCTATAAAGCTGATGCTGTCACTTCTGGAATGCTTGTTGTACCATATGCATGCATTCGATGTGTGGGAGTGCCTGGGCTCGGACGTTGCTCCATACCTGTGCCACTCTTGACTGTGCATGGGTGTGGTGCACAGTCAAGTTGGGCCAGTGTGGCCTTGTCATGCTGCTTTTCTTTCAACAAATTGTGTGCAGCAAGTGGTGCGATCAAGTGGATCAAGATTCTTATGAAAGGTGTTCAGTATGTTTACGGCACGTGCGCTCTAAGCCACATGCACTGCTCAAAGGGTAGTGAAAGTGCTAGTCATAATGCTGTTGGTGGTAGGTCTTTTAGTCTCATTCATTGGTGGTGGCTATAACTTTGCAATGTGTTCACGATGTTCAAGCATCTTGACATTGCCGTACTCGAGACAAAGTTTCAATTATAGGGCTGCTGGCCTCGGCACTTGACAGAAAAGGCAAAAGGTCACTTGTGGCACACTGCAACCTCGAACACACTGCTGATTGAGGGGCGCTGTTATCTGCTCTAAGCGACACGATACACTGATAGCCAGGTACCATGGAGTCTAGGTGTAGGATTTGTTGTCGCTACATTTCCCATTGTTACTTTCTGGTGCAGGAAAATATTAACGAGCTTTTGCTCTAACCACTTGCCAGTATAGAGGTTCGGCCTTAATTTTTATGTCCTGTCTGCACCAATCCCTCAAAGCCTGCCTTGCATGAGAGTACTGCAGGACATTTCGTAATGTGCAAATTATGCGAGTGAAAGCTTCTTGTTTTTATTTTTCAGTCACGGAGGTGATACTCTAGGGTTATGTAAATTTTGTGAGGGGGCGAATAACGCAAGTAATTGAGGTACATATACGTGTCCACACTCATCTCTTTGTCCTACACTGTAAGGTATTGGTGCCCCACTGCGGGCATGAGGTAGCCTCCTTGTAAAGTGGGCGCCCTTTTCGAAAAACGGAGCACCACGATACTGAAAGCGCGTGAATGTTTATTTCGACAACCAGGTTTGGAGAAGGAATTCCTGGAGTTGAACGACTCTATGGCAGAGCCTTCGCAGTCCTCCGCGCCGTCAAAGCTGCAGGAGCTGCTGCGGAACAACGTCTCTACCCTGTCCTCGACGCGTCGTCGACCCTCGCTGCTCAGCAGCGAAGCCCAGGCCATCTTGGACAGGCTTCCGGACCTGTCATTTATGCAGGCTCGTGTGCTGATGTTTCCAGTGCACTTGGACTGACCCTTCATTAGGAATTCGTGACGACTGGCTGAAAGCGACTGTACATCTTTCTATGACCTTCAGAATGGCTCGACGCAGCTCCCACATTTTGCGCATCTAACGTGTGCTGATGTATTATTTTTGATGTTAGCGCTCAGGTCAATGACGGGGGCCCTTTGTTGCGCTGATAAGAGGTTGTGCGTTGTCAGTGATCCCATTCTTTAAATGTATTAAAATGTATTTAAAAGTATTAAAATGTATGCGTATAGTATGTGTCTTACCACCGATAATTTATTTTGTTTGCGTTAATAGCCAGGAGCACAAGTGGCAGGCTATATGGTGTGGGGATATTGAGTTGGGGGGATAAGGAATGGTGTATTCCTTTAGGGCAGTATGGATTCGTACTGCATTCCCATATCTTGGTACACAGATGATCAAATGTGCATGGTTTGATTATATTTCTGCAAATGCTGATAAGAAAATCTGGCAATCGCACCTGTACGTATTCATCACTGTATGCGCTGAAATCTTTTACGTCTTGTCTTTATCGATAGACTTGAAACGGTGAAGCACGGTTTCAGCTTTTGTGAAGGTACTTCCTTGTGGCTCTTTGGAGTAGGGTCTGAGATCTTTAAGGAAGCTACTCACAAACTGGGTTGACTGCCCAATATTGAGCCTTGTTATGGAAGTGCAGAGTCATGGTATGTTGTTTCTTATCTGCCATGTATAAATGGGCCCATTACAATACTTCTGCATTGAAAGATAATTGTTAATGTGGAATTATGGCAACATATTTTGTGTCAGAATTGTTAAATGTTTCGCAAGAGTGCTGGTACGGTGCTATATCTTGAGAATGTTACTGAATGTGCTGAAGGGTTTAGGAGTTATGGAAAACTGGCTTCTTTAAAGGTATATTGATTATGTACAGTGGAACGTTCAAAATCGATGCACACATTGTTGTTTAATTTTCACAGAAACTGTGCAATGTCAAATTTGAACAGTGTTGCTGAGATTGCGCAGCTCTTAAGATGATGCCTCTTGCTTCATTTCAACAATGATTTCTCCGGTGATTCTGTTAGAGCAGTGCTAACTATCAGAATGTATTGTCCGAGCTTTCTTGATATCAATGTTACCATTTAGATTGCCTTACCACATGGCTTGGTGACAATGCGTTTTGCTGCAGACAATTTCATTCTTGTGATAAGTGCTGCGTTTGACAACAAACCTCTGGTTTAGTTTACGAGACCTTGTAATACTAGTGCAGGTTACCATGTTCCCATGGACTACCGTATAATGCGGAATATAGGTCGAGGCGGAATATAGGTCGACCCCCTTACCTTGACCAGCAAAAAAAAAAAAGAAAAACGCGGAATCGTTCACTGCTTCACTTTAGTCAGTCCTCACAGTCCTCCGAGCTGTCGGAGCTCTCCGACGACGACGACTGCTTGTCACTAGCCGCCTCCCACAGCATGTCGTCCTCGGTGCCGTCGAGAGCGTTGCTGATGCAGCACTTCTTGAATGCGCGCACCACCATCTCTTCAGGCAGAGACCTCCATGCCTCGGAGACCCAACCACAAACTGTCGCGAGAGGTGGCCTGCGCAGCCGGCCTGTCGGGGTCCGCGGGTTGTCGCCAGCCATCCATTCGGTGTACAGCGCACGCACACGGTCTTTAAAAGGTTTATTGAGGACGACGTCCAACGGTTGAAGTGTTGATGTCATTCCTCCCGGAATGACGACAAGATCCGTCCTTCCGTCGCGAAGGCTCTCCTTCACCGATGCTGTCAAATGCCCGCGAAATGCATCCAACACGAGCATGTTCCGGCGCTGCAGGAGGGCTCCGGGCCGCCGGTTCCACACTGTGCGGATCCATTCGCGCATTAGGGCCTCGTCCATATACCCCTTCTCGTTGACGCGGACGACGACATCCCGCGGGAAGGCCTCCTTCGGCATCGTCTTCCGCTTGAAGATTATGAAGGGGGGCAACTTTCTGCCGTCGGCCGTGCAGCAAAGCATAACGGTGAAGCGCGAATGCTCGCTACCGGTCGACAAAAGCCTCACCTCTTTTGCCCCGCGTTCACAAACAGTCGTGGACGACGGCATGTCAAACCACACCGGCGTTTCGTCGGCGTTGCCGATCTGGCCTAGCATGTAGCCATGCTGCCGCCGGAGGTTGTTCACATAGAGTTGAAACTCTATCAATTTGTCCTCGTACATCTCCGGCAGCTTCTGGCATATCGACGTGCGCCGTCGAAGCGCAAATCCTTTGCGTCGCATAAAGCGACGGACCCAATAAATGGATCCCTTGAAGTCTTTCTTTGACAGGCCGGCTTCACGGGCGAGCTCGACGGCTTTTGAGCGAATGAGCTCCGCATTCACGGGAAGGGATTTGGCACGGTACTCGCGGACGAAATCCGCCACTTTGTCCTCGAGTTCCGGGTGCACAGCTCGGCGACCGCGAAACGACGTCTTCCTCGCGTTACACACTGACAGTTTGGATTTTTGGTTGCGCCAGTATCTGACGCTTTTCTCGGACACTCCAAACTGCCGCTGTGCCGCCATGTTGCCATTCACTTCCGCGAATTCTATAACTTTTCTTTTAAACGCGGCGGTGAACTGGCGCCGCGTCCCGGTATTCATAGCTGGTCGCAGAGTAAAAGTCGCCACTCTCTACGAACACGAAATGAACAAGAAAAGAAAAATGGCGTCGGCAGAGGCGTCGGCCCATGGAGGCGATGTCGATGCTGATGCCCAAAAAACATGCGACACTCCCTGTTGCCAGACGATCACTTTGTTTATGCCAAGGGCCGGTATATAGGTCGAGGGGTGACTTTTTAGCGAAATTTTTTGGAAAAAATCTCGACCTATATTCCGCACTATACGGTACTACTAAAGCCTTGCCATTTCCGACCATGAGGAATGCGGTTCATGTCGTGTAGTTGCTGTTCCAGTGTACCTTTGTTTTTCAGTTTGTGCAGATTATGTAAATGATCTATATTGAACCCAGCCAGCAAGCCACCACAAAGTTTTTATCGTGCAGCCTACACTGTAAAAGGTCAGGGCAAGCCTGCAATAAAACAATTCGCGGAAAATGCTTTGTGCACGTTTTCTTGCTTGCCTACAAAGACATCTGTGATTTGACGCTATCGGTAATATAAGAGTAGCATAATAAGAATTTCTTACAAGCTCCGCTGAAAAAACCTAACCACGAATTTCAGTTGTAGGGCAAGGCTGCAATTTGGTTATGCGATATAGATATTGCATGGTCTTGCACAGAACTGGATGTAATCTAAAGTTGGCAAAAAATAGGTGTATGCATGTTTCACCGATGGTTCTTGATTCTTTCCAGCCATATGAGATGTTTTGTAGAGCGCATCGAACGTATCGGCACCTTCCACATCCCACTGTGCACATCCTTCACAACTGTGATGGCCAGATTTGTTGATTTTGAAAACCAGGGGCTTTTAATTATTATTTGATTTCTTTTTATTAAAATATCTCTGCAGTCTTTTGAGTGCTCCTTATGGCTTTTATCTGAAACATTATAATTGTAATCTCAACATGTTTTAATTATAGCAATGGTTTTTTGTAAACTCAGCTTTTGATTTGCACAATGGTGTACCGTGACAACCACGCCATGGATGGACAAGGCTCGGCCCAAGGTGTTTTGTCCATAATATTTTTTGTGTGGGTAGTCCTTAACGTGCACGCAAACCTTTTGTGTCCGCAATCCTTACATGCACACAAGTCTTACATGCTCATAAGAGCTTCGTGGCCATCAAAACGCAGGGCACTGTGGCCAGAAATCGAATCAAGCCCATGTCTTCATGCATAGAAGTGCAACACCTTTGTTGCTGAGGCACCATGGTGGTAAGAAGGACAAGATGGGTGAACTGTTTGACATGCTACAGGTCGTCTTAATATTGTATTTGACATATAGTGCACATGTGCGTCTTGTAGCACCCCTTCATCACTTCGGAATGTGCCACCAACATGCCAGAATACCTACTTACTTTGTCACTGATGCTTGTGCCGGTTTAGTTTTGCCTCACGATGTAAGTTCGAGCAATCATTAGGTGCTGGTGAGGCAAATTGTTTTAGCAGCCCAAGAATAGGGAGCAGAACGTTTCGGTTCTTTCTTTGCCGAGAATTATTACCTAAAACTGACGCCACACATTGCGAATTTCTGAAAAACACCGGTGTGTTTGGCTGGTGGGGACTAACAAAAAAAAAGCGACTTGAAGAAGCTTGATGATATTTTCGCATTCAGGCTGTAACTTCATGACTGGGTAGGTGCTATGTACAAGCACATACATGCAAAAAGAGATTGCTTGCCATGATTACTCTACAAACAAAAACATCTCGGCGACCACTGCGTGCGTCAGGAAGGGCTGAAATTGGTGATGACGATCGTGGGAATCTGGGTACTGCATTGGAATAAACTGAAAACAGATGTGAAGCAATCTTCGTTCACTCGCGGTTTGAAGTATAGCGCAAGTAAGTCCCCAGTAGTCCCCAGTAAGTTAAACATTTCCGATCGGTTCAAGTTGGGGGGTCACATTCTTTTCAAAACTAGTCGATCGATTCCCTACAGTCTCCATAATTTCCAGGGACTCCACTGTACCTTAGCACACAACAGAACTAAAATACAAAGTAAAAAAGTGTGTCAAAAGATACGTGACAAAAAAAGTGACCGGCATTACCGTTGTACGCACCACAGCGAAGTCTACCGTGTAAAATTTTTTCTCGGCTGTTTCCACAAATTCCTATCAAAGAGCCACTGTTAAAAAAAAAAAAAACACTTGTGAAGCCGAGCTGCATGAGCTACTTTGGTGGCGTGAGCTTTAGCAATTAGCCCCGAGAACGAGCACCAGTCGCTGTCGCTGCAGTCGCGGTGATGTGACGTCACGGCACGGACTCTCCTGCTCCGCTGGCGCTTGTCTCCTTTTTCAGCGCCCGCCATGTACACGCTCTTTGGAGATACGTTGGTGATTATTCCTGAATTTCGTGACGCTCATTGTTCAACACACAAGGTGCAAGGTGTTTCGCAAGTAGTGAAAGTTTTTAAAGCTGTAAGAAGCTGTTTCTATAATTTAGCTTAGGATAGGCAGACTACCTTCCGAACGGAAGATTTATTGTGAACATAGTGATGCGGTGGAAGACGCTCGTTGTTTTTATCGCGTACACCACAGCATGGGTGCTAAGAGATATGCTAAGT